TACTTAGTTTTGAATTGTTTAGTTATTACGATTTTAGATTTTAAGTGTTTTATTTTCATCGGTATTAATAATATTAAGTTCAAATAAAAAAAACAACAATTTCAATGAGATATTTTATTTAATATATATCATTACATTACTAAAATTACTAAATAGGTACATAAATACAACAAAAATCACAATTAATTCTTATATATATGCAATATTTAGTACCATAAAAAACTAAAAACTTAAATTAAATTATATTGCCAAGAAGCTTATTGCTATTACTTAAGTGCATATGGTGAGTTTACTGGAAACGAGATATTCTATATTAGCTCACAAGCGTCCTCAAACATCTCATCTGCATTTTGATTTTTAATCTAAAATTAATTTAGTTATTTATGGGCCACATGATCACTTCCATCGGATGGACTGTGTGCTCGTAGGTCACCATTATTCTATTAAAAAATCTCTATTATTATATCATTCATTTTCTATCACTTAATATTTTTGTAAAATATGTAATGCTAACCGCATAAGTTCCAGCCACTGAGTCTCAGTATCTCTCCGTCGAATCCTCTCTCGTTCTTACTCTACAAACATCTTTTCTCTCTCTTATTCTAGTAGTAGTTCTCATATTCTCCTCACACAAAAAGAAATATTCCTCTAATGATTTAAGTGGTTTCTTCTTGGGTTGGCGGCGCTGAAATGGAGGTTGTGGTGTGGGTTGCCTGGAGACAGTTGGAGATTACGGCGGTGTGGCAGATTGTGGAGGTGTTGGGGATCTATGATTGGTTGGAGGTATAATTACTGGATGCTTGCTGCAGCCAGAAGCACTTCAGTTCCTCATCATCTGAAAAAACCAATTGAAAACTTGAACTTCCTACATTTTAATCTTCATTTATTTATACATTAATTATATATATTGTATATTAATTATCTTCATTTATTTTACAATTATTTACTTTTCATATAGTTAAAAATTTGTAAGTTAAAAGATATTTTTTTATATAATAAGGGTGACAAACAAGCACACAGTCCACCTGACGCTAAGTGGATGTTGTAGCCCATATAGACATCTACGTTTATCTTCGATTAAGAATCAAAACGCAGATGCGTTGTCACCCCTGAGGACTATTATGGAATGCTTCAGTTTCAGTAAAAAGGGTCTCCGGATCTCTACACTCACCATACGAAACACAGTAGTATTATTAAGTTGCTATTTTACGCTGGTATTCTGTGAGAGCGTGGTCCTTCCACAGTCGAGCCGACCCATTCGTGCTACAACCATTACATATAGCGGCAGCGTTACCACATATTCATGTGTTCAGGTGGTGGCTCAGGGCCATGCTTTGTGGCATTCCTTGGGCGAGGACTATGTTCAGCAGTGGACTTGTAAAAGCTGGCTTGTAATGATGATGATGAGGCAGCAGCTACGTCTACTCTCGATTAAGGGTCGTAAAGCGGATTAGTCACCCATGGGAAGATTACCAGTAAAAAGGATCTCCGGTTCTCGTCACTTATCATAGTATGTGGTGGATGTAATGCTTTGGAGATAGGATCGAAAGTAGATTAGAATGTTATATCAGGGGGGAAACATAGAGGACTGTCTCTAACCAACATACCTAAGCCGAGTTACTGAATCGATCCAGTCTACATTTACCTAGTGCCAAGATCACAGGTCACTGGATCCAGTTGCTGCCACTGTATATACTTTTATCACATGATTTTTTTTATAGGATAGGATGACAAACGGGCACACAGTCCACCTGATGGTAAGTGGTTGTTGTTGCTGAATATGGGCCATTCATCTACATATTCCGAATCAAAATGCAGATGCGTTGTCATCCATGAGGACTTAGGTGGAATGCCTCGATTCCAGTAAAAAGGGTCTCCGGTTCTCTCTACACTCACCACAAAAAACACAGTAGTAAAGTCAAACCCGACGTAATGCTTCACTAAAAAGAGAGATCTCAGGAAGAATTTTAAAAAGCTATGAATTTATTAAGAGTGGAACTGTGACGGAGATTACGTTTAACATGGTAGATCTTCACTGCAGCTGTGTTAAGGCTGCAGCACGGACGTGTTGTTTAGACTATGGAAGAGACCACGACCCCACAAAATACCTGAGTAAATCAGCAGCATTATGCTACTGTGGATAGTTTAGTTAGTAGTAACATTCTTTTGTAGTACTCAGACGTGACTACGTATCTACATCCTAATTCTTAAACAATGGTAAATATAGGTGTCCATTTATCAAGGGACTGTATGTCCCCTTTATACCAATAGTTGTATAAAGAAAATTATAATGAAACTAACCTTCCTCAGTAAGCTTCCAGCCATCCTCTTCCTGTTTCTATTCTATTCTATTTCAGTATACTGATATTCCTCCCTGTATTGGCCATTTATTTTACTTGGTGACAATAGGCTACCATTTGACAGCCTTCTTCAGAAATTGACGGTTGTGATTAAATGGTGTTTTAATTATCTTCTTATTCGTTTTAACGTGTCTTTTTTTGCCTGTATTTTTCTCTGGAATATAATTAAGGCCGTGAACTCGGTACTCTGTCATTAATACTCGGTGTTCGGCAGACCCCTAAAAAAAGGCCGAAACCGCCAAGTACCGAATCCAAACCGAGTATTCGTCCCATGTCTACTCACAAAGACATTATGTTGCCATTCAACAGTCTGTCATCTGTATTATCATCGTCTGTCACGGATTTTGCATGAGTTTGCCTGGAAATAATAGCATATTCCTTCAGTTCTTCATTGAATAATGATAATGTCCTCCAGACCGTGATTCGGTCACGGCGGCCAGTCTCAACAGAAGACAGTATTATAGTACCCAAGTGTAAGCGCAAAAACTGGTGCACTCTATTCCCTCACTCTCATAGTCCGATGGGACGGTAATCAGACATGACAAAGGATCAGACGCAAGACCCACGGCTTTACGTGCTTTCCGATGCTCGGGGGTAAGACCCGCCAACTTCCTGACTCCGGGCCGCTACTGAGAATTTCTTGACAGAAAAACCCAATAACTGATTGCGGCCCAACCGGGAATCAAACCAGAGGTCGTCAGCGACCGCGTTTACAGACACTATGTCAGGCAGTCAATGAATAATAAGTATACAGACTTGCTTAATAAAATACAGACCTGTAATTTTTTTTAAAGAAATCCGGTGGCAATTCGTTGAACCATTTGTTGCCGGACGTCAATGGCGGTAGTGGCACAGTAGAGAACTGAAATTCCGTGTCGTTGAAACTGGACCGCCAGTCATCCGGATGGTATGAATGGTATCGCGAATTAAGTCGCGATGTGCGATGGTGAAATTTCGCGGCCGGGATTAGTCTAACAATTCCTCAGAGCACTCCCCATAGTAAATGCGATAAAATAAGCAAAGAGATGCAACGTCTTAGAAACGTACAGTGGTGGACCGCCGAATATCCAGAAAAGAAAATATTGGCACGGCCGGTCACCAGTGCTGTCATCCGCATACAATGAATGTTACCAGTTTGCAACATATCATTGATATGCAACAACAATTATATTGTTAAATTTTAGGTATTATACTCTCTATTTGTTCGTAAAGTTTTATTACAATCGGTTCAGCCATTCCGAAGAATATCTCGTACAGACACACAAAAGTAAATTTTAAAAATGGTAACTCGTTTCTCAATAGCATGCAAATATTTATACAAAAACATTAACAAACCAAATCTACAATAATTATAACGAAAACTCTCTACACCTCGTGTCGTAGCTCACAAATTAGTGAAACCGAACTTAATTTTTTTTGTAGTTAATGGCATTTTGTTATTATTAATTACACTGATAAGTTGGACTAAAGTTATAGAACGTTCGAAAAACGCATATCGCAACTGTGTCACAACGTAGTTCTTTTGCAGTCTTTACCGGCGGGTGTGAATATAGATAGCGACAGTATGTGAGCAACAGGTGAATAGAGGCGACGCCATTTCCAATCCCATTTTTTAACCGCACGGGTAGTAAGTCATGGTGTCACAGTTAATTTGACTTTCAGTGATATAGACAGCACGAGAATTAACGTCATCTTGAAATTTTAGCAGCATTTGAATATTTAATATCTATACATTAATTTTCGTGTTTTAAGAAAAACACTGGAATTAGAGTATAATATTATATATCCATTATGATTAAATTACATAAATATTTTATGACCACTGCAGGCTATGTTTAGAACAGTTCTTTCCACATGACCAAACCACCGAAGCATTCCTTTCTTAATCCTGGTCACATCATCTTGCAAACCACACTCTTCTCTTATCACACAATTTCTCACCCTGTCACAGATTCAGCCCTAACATACTCCTTAACGACCGCATTTCTACTGCGTTCATTCTACTCTCGTGCTTCTTCTGTCACACCTAACTTTCACCACCATACTTTAAAGTAGGGACCAACACAGCATTGTGAATTGCCATACGTACCTTTTTCGACACATTTTGACTCTTCACAATAGAGTGCAGGGCTCCATTTACTCTATTTCCCGCATTCACTCGTCGTTCTATATCTTTATATCTCCCATCCCTGCTTAATACGCAACCCAAATATAAATTAAAAATTTACTCCTCAAATATTTTATAACATACATAGGACAAACTAACTAAGCAAACGTTCCCGTCGCAAGAGATTACGAGAGCTTATGTTACGATAATTTCAATTTGAACCGCCATTCGATTGTAAGCTCTAACTACGATTTTGAGAGTTCAAAATAAAGATGAAAATTCAGAACTCAATTTTCGCGGGCGTAGGTCAAGAAATCTAATTTTAATTGTTTAACTTTTTGAAATAAACCAAACATTAAAAATGGTAACAATATTTTGAAAACATTTACCTGAAACACAGACTGCTTATCCACATCATCCGGTGTATTGACGTGCAGTAACGCGACGTGACCATCCCCCGATACGGCGACCGCTCGACCAGAGAACGCGGGCAAGAAGTGCAACAAAAGAGGGGGAAAAGCTGTATGGAGTGACTAAGCACCTTCTGCATTAGACCTGCCGCGGAGACAACGCACGTCCCACACTACTACGTAGGGCTCCGCCACCGCTACCCCGCCGACGCTAAAACAAAACAAAAACTTTTATCTACTTTCAATTTTTCTTGTTTAATACCCACCTAGGAAGTATAGATTTAAGCAACTCAAATCGCAATGACAATCTTTCAAGATTTCAGTGTATTGTTACTCCCTAAATTGAAATAAATTTCTTTTAAACTGTCTGAATAGTTTAAATTCTGTAACAGGGTGAATTTCTCAAACAGTTTAAAGAATTTGCAATAAATGCAATGCTAAGCAGGCAAATTGATGTTTACAGTCTCGTGTCCCTGGTAACGCAATTCAGATCTAATCCAACAATATGGGTGATCCACAATTTTTAGAAATTACAATATTTTTTCACACAACATGACAAGAATTCTCTTACGCGGCAAAATTATGATGAATTAGGATTTTTTTTTTCATATTTATTAAGTATTATTTACAGAAGGGTGACAAACTGACAAACGATCACACACTCCACCTGATAGTGAATACACGCTCTGAAGAAAAGAATTATTTAATAATATATGTAACCATATAGTGGCGGTGAAGCATATCCACCACCCCATACCGTCCCGTGGATGTTGTAAGAAGGAAACTGAAACATTAAATGGGCAGCAGCAACTGATACCAACTTAAAATTATTAAAAACTGCTGTAGCTAATTCGACAACCAAGTGTAATAATTATGGCAAATATCCCTTCTATAAAGCGGGAGGAAGAGTTTGTTCAACAGCGGACTTTTGAAAAACCGTTATGAATGAATGAATAATGACTAATAAACAATCACTATAACAAAATATCTAGTACTCAATCCTAGTATCAAATTTATGGTTAAATAAATAATGTCATAATCAAAATTATAATCTTTTGTGCCCATGGAACGCACATTGTACATATCTGTCCCTATCATATTAAAAAATTTTCGAGTGGATCCTGATTAAAGTGCCTCATCCAAAGAGACGTCAAATCATGTTGTTTTTCTAATTGTTCAACAAGATATTCAATATTTTCGATTGACTGGAGCCAATTCGTTATACTTGGAACAACTGCAGATTTTCCATTTTTAACAAATTTCATGGTACGCAATACTTGCTTAGCATCACGCCAAACTTTTTTGTGAATAGATTTAGGTCTGACTGGACCTAGGAGTGCTTTCCCTGCTCTCTTTTTTGAGTTTACGAGGGTGGATTGAAAAGTACTCGGCCTAACCAAGAAAATAAACACATACTAAATCAGTTATATTTTTATTTTTCTACATAATCACCATCAAATTCAATACACTTTTGCCACCTCCCCTTCCAAGCATTTAGACCGTTGAAAAAAAATGATTCTTCCTTAGAGTCAAAATATGCGTCTACAGCTGCTTTGACCTCGTCGTTTGTCGAAAATCTTTGACCTCCCAAGTGCTTTTTTAGGTTAGGGAACAGAAAGAAGTCTGATGGTGCCAGATCAGGTGAATACGGCGGATGCGGTAACAGTTCAATGCCACAGTTGTGAATTTCAGCCATTGACTGTACTGACGTGTGAACACGGGCGTTATCTTGATGAAACAGAACTTTTCTTCTGAGCATTCCTCGACGTTTTTCTTTTATTTCCTCTCGTAAACGACGTAGTAAGGTGCAGTAGTAATCAGAGTTTATAGTCTGACCCCTTTCAAGATAATCAATCATAATCACACCTTTCGAGTCCCAGAATACTGAAGCCATCACCTTATTTGCCGACAAAATCGACTTAGCCTTTTTAGGGGGTGGTGAACCAGGTCTTCTCCACTGTTTTGATTGTTGTTTTGTTTCCGGTGTACAGTAATGAACCCATGTTTCGTCCATAATAACAAAACGATTCAAAAAATCATCTGCATCGGCTTCAAATAACTCCAAATAGTCGCGTGAAATAGTCAATCGCGTCCTTTTTTGTTCAACTGAAAGCAGTCACGGAACCCACCTCGCAGACACCTTGTGGAAACCCAACTCGTTGACAATGATGTTTTGAGTTCGTTCATAAGAGATGCCTATAATCTCGGCTATCTCTCTAATTTTTAATCTGCGGTCTACCATTATTAAATCAAGTACTTTTTTAATATTTTCGTCAGTAGTTGACGTCGAAGGCCTTCCAGAGCGGGGTTCATCTTTCACACTCTCTCTACCACGCTTAAATTCTGCTATCCATTTTTTGACGGATGAATATGACAGAGCACAATCGCCTAATGTACTGACCATGTCATCATGGATGGCTTTTGATGATAGCCCCTTCTTATGGAGGTACTTAATGACGGCACTCTGCTCGATTTGCTCCATTCGCGGAAATTATGTCCGATTACTTTGTTAATAAATTTATAAAATCACAACTAATTATCGCACACGTTTCGAACTTCGCACAATGAACTAGTCTGAACTGAACTAAATAATGTGGGTAGATTTGATTTTTAGAATTGAATGGATCTGTGTTCTGCCGAGTACTTTTCAATCCACCCTCGTAGGTAACTGCCATTTAAAGAGTCGAACAGGTTGAAGAATAATATTACGTTGGCTGTGTCTTGGCATTCTTTGTCAATTACTTCTTTGCCTGTAAAAATAAAAAATAATGTGAAATGTCTCATGCGAAATAGAATGATTTATGAGCAACAATGTTTCCATAGTAAATTACCTAAATGAGAATAGAATAGAATATAACAATTTTTTATTCAATATAGATTACAAGTAATTCTTATTGAAAGTCATTTTTTTACTTTACCACTGGTTGGAAAAAACCTGGGAAGAACCTACAAGAAACCCAGCGGGACTTTTTAAATATAAATTTTACAATGTCAATGGTCACAAAATATTTACAAAATTTATTTTAGAAACAACTTGGAAGCGACCACCCTATCCCCAGGGGTTATTATCAACCATGTATTCATTTATAATAACCCTGTTTGAATGTTTACTAGGACTGAATTTTTGACTTTTTATGCTTTAAAATAGACTTAAGTCTTTTTTTCTATTATTCTCCTACATCAGAAAGTTTAAGCTGCTATGTGTAAAACGCATAATATGATTTCTAGAGAAATCGGCACCTACTGTTAATCAATTTGTTTACGTACGCGTGCAACTTAATGGACAGTAAATAAACAGTTAAGTGGGGTGTGGTGGCGGTGTGTTTATAGTGGATACATGGGCAGCAGGGTTAACTTGTCAAATTGATCTCAAAAAAATCATCTACTGCAATCCTCACATCACCTTCCTGGCACATAGATTTTGTACAGTAACACCTGCCACTTAAAGAGAGGCCCATATTTAGCAGAAGACTGTTTTAGTTCATGATAATATAATGTTCAATTGTTTTCAATTGTGATGATTGTTTAAACATAGCAAGAATTTATTGTAGTAATTCCGCTTCCTTACAATTATTTATAGATACTTACTTGCTAAATATCCCATGTTAACTGCAACTGATTGACTGAAAACTTGGGTAGCACCATTTCACCTTCATTTTTGCAATTTTTTCTGGTATTATATGTTTATCTGTTAGTTTTGGCATTAACCTTAGCCCTTGGTAGCCTGGGTCTTCTTTATACAACTGCACAATGTGCTCCCATTTTGCAGTTTTTTCCTCTTTATGAATTGAGCATTTTAAATATTTGACCAGAGATTATTTCTTATTCCTTTTATCAGGTGGGGTGTGTCAAATAATGGAATTATTTCTTTGCCATCAATTTCGAAAACTTTATGTTCTTTTTCCTTATTTTTCTTTAAATATTCTTCCCTTTTTCTTCCATGAGGTAATTTATTGCGCTGACATTGGCACACCCCTGGTCACAAATTGTCCCTATTACTTGAATCCCAGTGCTATTAAGTTTTCTTATAATATTCTTAATTTTTAAGGCTAATTCAACTTTTGTTGTACTGCCAGCACAAAAACTATAGGCAATCACCTGTTTATAGTTGTAAAATATGCCTCTTATCATAAAGACAAGAGCATGGTCAGCTATTTTATTTTGTGTAGTTTCACCATTGTCTACAAATCCAGTGATTGCATCACGTCTTCTGTTGTAATCAAAGTGTGGAGTAAGGGCTATCTCATCAAACAAGAGCATGCATAGTTTTTGCTTTGGTTTCATTTTTTGAGCTCTTTTTTGTAGCTCCCGGAATATATTTTCATTTAAACCTGCCTTCAGTGATGCTGTTGAGATCATTCTACTTAATGTTAGCGGAGATGGCAGAATGAAAATTTTTCTCAGCCATCTGTATGCTCTCGGTCTCTGCTTATACAAAGCCAAAGACAAGACTATCTCCTTTTTTGTAAATCTCTGCCCCATTCCCTTTTTTTTGGATTCACGGAACTGCATCATAATAAAAATTAAAGCAGCTGCTGAAAATGTTTTTACTACCTTTTGAAACATTGAATTTTCAGAAAGTTTCAGGGCTTTTTTCAACCTTGCCTCTACAGAGTCTTTAGTATGTTTCAGCTTGTACAGTTGTTTTTTCAATAAATGAGTTTCATCCGAGTGCTTCACATACAGAGGTTTTTTCATGGTTTTTCCTGTCAGTTACAAAAATTTAATTATAAAAACTGTTCTGAACTTAATTATTATTATAATTATATTTTCGAATTAAGTTCTTATCTTAATTGCTTCGAAAATATTATGATTAAGATTACTTATTAAACATTACTTAGTTCACACAAGTTGTCTCACAATATACCACCAGAACGCCCAATATGTGTTATGTTGTGGGTCAGACAAACTGAATCTTTTAAGTAGCTTGAAGAAATGTGTTGTGGATAATACTGTGTGTCCTCCAATTTGTATTTAATTATAACTGTTCTTAACTAAACATGAACCGTGGTAGCTCAGATAGTTAACGCTCTTTGTAAATATAACAGAATGTGAGTAACCCGGTTTCGATCCCCGCCGGCACCAATAAAATTGTTAATTGCAATTTCAAGTGCTGATTTACCACAAGCTCGGCGGTGAAGGAAAACATCGTGAGGACACCTGCATGTCTGAGGAATAAAAAAAAAATTTCAAAGACATGTGAAGTTCGCCAACACGCATTGGGGCAGCGCGGCAGATATTTCCTTGCCCTAAAACCCTCTCAGAAATGAGGGGAGGGCTGTGCCCAGCAGTGGGACGTATATAGGCTGTAACTTTACTTTTTTATAACTTTTCTTAATAATGTCATAATAGTCTATGATGCAGCTTGGTTATGTAAGGTATTTTTGTAAAGTAAACTTAACTTATTAATTCATATTCATATTAAAGCTGAACTTGATTGTTGACTATGGTACAATTATGAGAGAAAAATAATTTAAATTACTTACCTTTGAACATAGGCAGACTTGTAGATGAATGAAATGTTCTACCAGTCACATTTTGAAGATTGGCATCAAAAGTAGATGTAGATGCAACTCCTTGTTCAATATCATCAACTCGGTGTATACTAGTATTTGTAATATCTTGTAAAGGTGTATTTCTTACTGAATATCCTATAACAATATAATAGGTAAATGAGTATAATGGTACCCAGCTTTTTCCCCTTGAATTCACTTGTGTGGAATTGGGAAGTAAAATCTTTACAATGATGTTAATAATTATATTAATTTATCATAAACTTATTTACATTGTTTAAATAAGTTTTCTGATAATAAGGAACTAAAGTTTTGCCCATGCCTTTTTCTCAGTTCCAAGAAGGACAGATTCTGTCCTTCTCTGGAACCCCCTCCCAAAATCGGGAAAGTAAGCAATCACTATACTTTCAAAATAAAATTTCACTTTTATAAATAAATTGGTAGAATTGTCATCCCAGTAATAGTTTATTTAAATGGGAAAGTAACATTTACATGTTTTAGGATGTGTAGTGTAGTGACGGATACTCCATATCAAAATAATGTTCCCATATCGAAATGATGTTGCAGCACACATATTTCGTCTTTCTTTCTTTATCAGCACTTAAAGTTCACCATTGGAATCACACATAAACATCTAATAGTCTAAAATTATGCTGTTAGTGGCAAATGATATTAGGATCACTCAGATACACATATTCATCTAAAAATGAATTTAGATAAATATATGGATTGAATGTGGCTTCGAACCTGGGACCTCATGATCAGCAATCACGTTTCGTCACACCCACTGAATACAAAATATTAACAGAGAGTAACCACAGTATGCAAAACACATCTCGCTGGAAAGAATCTTATTAAAGCATTAATGATCCACAAGCACCACACTTACCAAACACAAAAATTTACACCCTAAATCCGCAATAGAAACACTCACAATCAAACGACAAAATGGAGGAAGAGGCCTAATAGACAATCACCACCCTTAACAGAAACAAATTAGTAGCCTTGAAACATTCTTTCACAATAAATCTCGTACTAGTGACATTCATATAGCCATAGCCCTAAATCATCATAACTACACTCTACTTAACCTAAATAAATAGGCAGACACACAACACAATAACACTATTAATCTACAAAAACAAAAGTCAGAGGACTGGAAAAAGAAAGTACTGCATGGACGACACCTACATGACTTAGAACTACATATAGATACAGTAGCATCAAATAAATGGCTTAAAATTGGTAACCAAACCAAACCAGATCATCAACACTAAAAACTACAGGATATGTCATCAAAGACTCCACAGACCAACAATAAATGTTGCAAGTGCCTCATCCAACCAATATATAATAATAGAGACTATACAACACATAACAGGGGCATGCACAACTCTCACAGACACAACCAAGTAGTAAATATCATTCATCAAAAACTAGCATTCAAACATAAATACTTACACAAGACACAAACATCCTACTACAAATACCCACCTTTGTGGTGTTTCAGAAAATCCTACACACAAACTCCGCTATGACTGCGCCATACTTACTGACAGGACAATTCACTATAATAGACCAGACATAACACTACACGATAAAGTAAATAAAATCACTTACTTAATAGATATTGCAATACCCAAAACACACAACTTACAAAAAACAATAGACGAGAAGATAAGCAAATATGCAGAGCTTAAAGAAGAAGTGACTAGAATTGGTCTTATGATTTTTAAATTGGAGAATTTTAGTTATCATCCAGTACTTGATTTTGACACTGTTTTTAGATGTCAGAAACATGTTTTGAATTAATTATGATAAAAACAAATTTCACTAAAAATTGTGTAATAACAAAATGCAAATATGTCAATTTGTTTTTTTAACACATACACACTCACAAAAAAGTTAATCACTTGGACCTAGACAATCCACATTTATGGCTGGAGATGGGACTTATATACATACAAATTGAGTCGCAGTGGAGCAGTCAAGAGGTTTTTCAGAAAACAAAATTATAACAATTCACATTACATTATTTCATTTACCTACTATCATAGCAGAGTTTAAGGCAACCAGACTTTATAGATAAGATTGGTCGAATCCATTCTAAAACTGAATTAGCACAGTCCAACATAGTCTTATCTGCCCTACCCCCAGAATGGTTTTTTAAAGCCGTAGGCACGGAGGGGAAGCAGCCCCCGCCCGCTGTTATTTAAAATGGATTAGGCATGAAAACATAACAAACATGCAATCTATACTTTCACATTTATGATATTACTAAGAAGTCTATTTTAATGTAATAAATAAATAGTGTACCTGACAAATTAATTGTTGAGACTGCATTTGCATTTTTAACAAGTCGATTACTTATTGTGTAGTATCTTCGTTCAAATTGTGCATGACAAACCCTGTGTAGCTTAAAAATTTTACTATTTTCAAGAGCAAGGATTTCACCACCAACTGCATAGACCCAAGTCCGAAACCTGTCTATATCCTTATCGGGATTGGGGAACAGGTGGAGTGTTATATTGGTTGTGCCTGTAAATAATAATGTTGTATTGTAAGTATAATACCGATAAACAAAATTAACACCTAAGCTTTAAAGAACACTATTTGTCAAGAATACAAATTTCATCATTCGTTTCAGATTGCAAAGACAACCAAATTAGTTATTTGATCGTAGATACGACCCAACAGCTGTCTAGCAGTTCTAATCACGACGGACTTTAGTTTAGTTTGGATTTCAAACATACATTTATTTCTCAGGAATCGTGCCTATTGTCATAAAACGGCAAGTTGTGGAAATAATGCACAAATGAAAAAAACTGTGTTTTAAATAGTTTTCCATACATATAAAAATAAAAATAGTGTGAAACTTACGAGTAGTTCCACAATTCGGTACACAACACTTGTGCACAGACATAGTCGACAAATACCAAATCAGAAAGCAAAAAAACGAAGGTCCAAAAATCGCGCAGAGGTCTACAATCAAAGTTATCGTTCTCGGAGTCCGTAAGCGTTCCAGGTCAGGGTTTTGAGCAGAGGAGTAAAGTAATATAGATTCACGATGTTGAAAATATACGTCCATTCGCATTAAAAAGATAGAACAGAAGAAAATGTTGAAAACAAAAAATTAAGATGGCGAATATGGATCACAAATTATAAAGTTGTATGTACAAGATGATATGGATCGCCATACGTTTAGTTACAGGTAAACAATGTTTTCAAATTTAATTAAAATTATGTATTTTAAATTTTAATTAAAAAATAAAATAGGTCGTACAATTATAAATTTTTAGTTTGAAACAGCTTTTTTAATGTTACGGAGTGAAATAATTACTTAAAATGGTTTTTTTTTCATCGAATTCTAGAAGTAAGGCCTAATTCAATCTCTTGAGATTTAGCGTGAATTAGAACATGATAATTGCCTCAGTGTCACAAGTTAACAGATATTTTTTTTTAAAAGCGCTTGGATTTAAAACATTGCCATCTATAGTCATATACCGACATATCATCAAAAATATAATACGACTAATTAGAACAGTACTTACGATAATGCGTGTACCAAGAGTTAACCAGTATATTTAAAAATCGGATGATTCTCAATCTTCGTTGTTCGAAGCTATAGGACCGTGACCTGGACTGCCACTGGACTTATCCGATATTGATTTTCTGTTGTGTGAATATTGCGTGCCCAAGGATTCCGATACTGCGACACCCAACAACATTGCGCTGTTCTCATCTGGACTCCGATTTGTCGCCTACGATTTGGATTTTGTTGTCACAGGATTACTTCATTCAGACATGATGAGCGATCGTGGCAGAGTTACTCGCATTGGTGTCGCATTGGTGGTCGTAAGTATTTATTCTAAGGAACCGTAATATCTTATATTTATCAGAATAATAAATCTATTATAGGTATGTCCAGCTGAGTCTTTAATTATCATGTTAATTGTTTTAAAAATAGTCTGCACCCATTATACATAATATGATTGCCACATAAATTATTATGATGAACAATGGATGACACTTTAACTCAACATTTAACCTCTCGTCTGTTACCATTACCAAAATACAATAGATTACAATCAATTTTTTGCATAGATCTATGTACGGATGACACCATCCTAATAACAAGTACTTTTATTTTTCAGATTACCGAAGATGATTATATCTGTGAAGCATGCAGAGATCTAGCAATGATGAAATATCTGGCATTGATGACCAACAACCTGGACCAAGTCACCAAGGCCACGCTAGTGTATGCCTTTTATGTGGGTGTTCCATTTTGCGAAGGCAAAGTGACAGAATATTGAGAGATAACCCCACGGACCTGCATCAGTTGATGTTTACCATTATTGAAAACAGGGTTGCTCCAAGACAGGTTTTTTTTTATAGAAGAGGGGGCAAACGAGCATGCGGCTCACCTGATGTTAAGTGACTACCGCCGCCCATGATTAACCGCAACACCAGGGGAATTGCAGGTGTGTTGCCGGCCCTTTAGAAAGGAGTAAGCTCTTTTCTTGAAGGTCCCCAGGTCGTATCGGTCCAGAAAAATTGCCGGTGGTAAACTATTCCACAGAGAGGTTGTACGTGGAAGAAAACTCCTTTTGAAACGTACTCTGGTGGACCGCCAAGCATCCAGATGGTGTGGATGGTATCGGGACGTTTGCCGCGTAGTGCGTTCACGAAATTTGGCGGCAGTGATTAATCCGAACAATTCCTCAGAGCACTCTCCATGGTATATGCGAAATAAAATGCAAAGAGATGCAACATCCCTACAGTGCCAGTGAATCGAGCCGATCGGGAAGCACTCGGTCGTCGACGATTCGAGCCGCTCTGCGCTGGATGCGGTCAAGTGGAAGGAGCTGGTACTGGGGAGCCCCAGCCCAGAGATGGGAACAGTATTCCATGTGCGGCCGAACCTGCGCCTTGTAAAGTCGCAGGCGGTGTGCCGGCATGAAATACTGTCCCGCTCTGCTGAGCACGCCACGCTTTTTAGAGGCCAATTTGGCCTTCTCTTCCAAGCGACCACGAAACTGCACGTCACTCGATATGACAACGCCGAGGATTCCGATACTGGCTGAGGCAACAAGGGGAGTGCCTTGAAACTGAGGAGATACGACAAAGGGGTTCTTTTTAGCGGTTAACACGCAAACTTGTATCTTCTGGGGGTTAAACTGGACTAGATTTAGTCGCCCCCAATCCGAGACTCTGTTCAGCAAAGACTCGACTTCAGACACAAGTTTGTCCCTGCTCAAAGACAGGTATGCTATATATATTTAAATTTTTTGATGACTGTCTTAGTCTAGTGGTCTGCGTGGACTACGAAACCATCAGTTGCGGGTTCAAGTCCAAGTGTCAAATGTTTGTGTGATGAGCATGAACATTTGTACCTCAGTGATGGATGTTTATAATCGTATATAAGTACTATACTCGTATATAAGTACTGTTATACTAGTTGCCATAGCATACGCTCAGGCTTAGTTTCGAGCTAGCTAATTGTTTTGACTGTTGGAACCATTTTCTTCTAATCTTTAACCAAATGGGTATTTTTGGTTCCTGTGTGTACATATACTAACACACATATATCATTGATTTGATTTCCAAATGTTATGATTATTATGTGCTTATTTATATGTGGTAGAGCCATGCTGCAGTTATATTAGATGTATAGTTGTAGCACGAAAGGGTCGGCTCGACTGGGGAAGGACCACACTCTCACAGAATACCAGCGTGAAATGGTAGCTTAATGCTGCTGTATTTCGTATGGTGAGTGTAGAGAACCGAAGACCCTTTTTACTGGAAATGAGGCATTCCATCTTAGTCCTCACGAGTGACAACGCATCTGCATTTTGATTCGTAATCGAGGATAGCTATAGATGCTATGGGCCACAGCAACCACTTACCATCAGGTGAACTGTGTGCTCGTTCGAAAAAGTCGTGGATGTCCTGTCCTCATTAGGTATCTAGTTCTAAAGTGGAACTTGTACTATGGCTAAACATATTATTCTGAATTCTCTGCAGTGAAGTCTTAATAGGCGAATAAATTCCATAATAGAGAGTTTAATCTGCTCCACAAGTTGATTACTCAAAAATAACTTTGGAACAGTAATATACCTAATGGTTAATAATTATTAATTGAACATCAATATAAGATTAAATTATTGAAATCCTGTAGGTAAAAACTCATAAATTGATAATAAATCTTGAACCATTTAAGTGATATAATTTCACATAACTTACAAATCTTTAAAGCCTCGTAACAATTATTCTCGGCCTTGTCGATAAAAAAATCTTAGACAAACAGTCTCAGGGAAAGATGGTGAATCGCTTTTGATATTTTTGATGTAAAGACGCTTCCAGATTACGTGACATAAAAATTTGTATGGGCGTTCGCTATTCATCGCGCGCGAACTAATTTAGTTTTAGACGTTATTTAGTTAGTGTATACTGTATATTTATAAGTGACCGAAGGACACAGTTGTCTGCTACAAAAGAAGCCTAACTAACTGTTTTAAATGTAAATAAAATATAGATACAAAAGTGTATATAAGAGTGTTTCTAAATAGTTGATTTTTATAAATACAATCAATAAACTTTTAAATACACCTTTAATTGATTTATAATTTATATTAAGGTTAAAATAACGTTTATATCAATTATAATAAAAAAAATATTTATTTTATTTTGTTTTAAAAAGTACACGCCTTAAAAATATTTTTAGGATTATAGAAAGTTAGAAAGTCGTAAGCCTGAAAAGTATGAAAGAGCGTTCATTGATTTTTCTTTACCACTTTATTTTATTTTAATCTAAAATACCACTTATTACGAAACAATGTTCTTTAGCACGCGGTCTGTCCAATTTCTGGTTATAAAAAGGTACTCTATGGTCCAGGTCGAATAAAAATAAGGAAATCAAAAGGCAAAACAAAGAACACAAAATACAAGCAACAACACCACAGAGTACTTTTTTATATATAGGAAGGCAGTACCATAGATTACTGACTATGTACTAGCTTAGAACATTTTACCATGCCACTAAGAGAAAATAATGATACCAAATTGATGGAGTACCGTAATCTAGTAACATGACCTTTTCTTAGCGCCTTCTTAATTATGTCGTTTTATAAAGTAATTTATTTAAGGTTTGTAAATACAGATGTCGCTCGCTGACGCTAACCGACTAAGTTGAAAATAGTGTTGTTAATACTACGGGTTTGCTAACAAAGTGACTATTTTATTCTTGTATCATTAAACTCCACATTATTAATGCTAAATGTTACCATTAATAAAATAAATATATTGTTCAGTAGTTTATTTTATTATAATTGAATTAAATAAACTACGAAATTATTTAAGTAAATTCAAAATACGCGTATTAAAGTCTTATAAACATTTAAAAAAATTAATCTATACTAAATTTTAATGTAAGTTATAATCTAAAACCCATCCTAAACGTTTAACTAAATGGACGTCGTGGTAGTTATTTCGCATTTCTTACTTGCAGCAATGAAGCAAGCCACAGAGTACTTTTTTAAGGGTATGTTCCGAAATACAACGCAGTGTACTATCCAATGCAAATGACGTCATGAATCGACGCTATACTGGTGATTCGTTCCAAAACATTGGACAGTATATGACGTCATACTTTTGCGCCATTTGGAAAAGTGTTGGCGATTATTTTGTCATTTTGTGCTCCAAAAATCATTATATCCTCCTAATGGATATACCATCAATTATTCTATAATTTTTGTATTTGAATAAATAGAAACAAATTCTGGCGTGCTTCATTCGGCAAACACACAACTAAAAATTGTTTTATTATGGCCGGATATGCGACACAATATGGCAGCGGCACGCTAGTACAATAAAGTGTCAAATGATGACGTCATTTGCATTGGACAGTACACTGCGTTGTAT